CAGAGGGATCCCCTGAAGGTCACCGACTACCATAACCGCTTAAGTCAGTATATTAAGCAAAACGGCGTTTCAAATAAACTACGGGAATAATCGCTTAATTAAAAATTTTGAGTGGAGTGAATTCCACTATCCTCAACCGTCTTTACTCGTTCGCCCTCTATTCTAGTTGGGGTTAGTGGTTCTACTAGAAAGTGCACCTCAATGACCTCGCCCGAGGTTAGGGCTAGCTCCCCCGACATATACGCGCTCGCCGTTGGTCGGGCGGGGGATTATCGATGATATTAAAGCCTACTTCAGTGTCCCCGCCCGAGTTTTGAGTACGCGACCCAACTTCACCTCGTAACGTTTTTCATTTTACAGAAATATTGCGATCTAATTTGTTCCCTGACATGCCCCGCCCGTCCTCTCCCCTAAAATCAGGTGCCCGTGAGCCTGAGGGAGGCGCTTCACACGCTCCCCAGGCGGCCCCACAAGGAACCCCTACCGAATAACATTCCAAAGGAGGTATCAACAGACCCATTTTCAGTCTCATCTGGACAGGGAAGCTCTGAGAAGTGCAGCGAGCTTCCGCACGCCACTGCGTACATTTGAAATAAACCACAACGACCACAAAACTTGCGACAACCAGATCGATGATGCTATCACCGCTATCCACTCGAGACTACTCTGCAAGGTTGGTCGGTTTCAGGAAAGCAGATAGAAGGGAAATTGAGGAAAAAGTGATCACTTGGGCTCGGGCGAGTGGAGCATCTGTGTGTGCCTCTTAAACAGGCTATGTGGTGACCAACACGAAGTTCAGATAAGGGCGTGACAGGCGTTGTTCACACTGCGCTCCCATAACAAACGCGGAGCATAGTTGCGGGGCGGGGTGTCTGTGACACACGTATGTGCAGAGTCACGTCGCACCGGCCGCCCGTGGCCTTTGTGGCACACCCACTCTCCGTGGGACCTGAGTCCAGCGTGGCAGGTCCGACTGCCTGTGCCCGATCCCATCTCTGCAGATCTTGACTCTGTCTTGACACCGAGCATGGGCGCATGAGGGAAGAGAGAGTGTGCGGTAGATGCAACGCAAGTCTACTATGAATGAAAACACTCGCGTTCCAGGTATTTGTATGGATAAGAGAGAAGGATTGCCGAGCACCGGATCAATTTGTTTACTATCCTGGGCTTTCGAACTCTTACAGGAATCCAATGTCAGTTCACCGCTGTTTCTTAGTCCTCACGACCTGACCTAAAGCTTTTAGTCTTAGAAACTGACATTCCTGCCTTGGCAACGAAGAGGAAGACTCGATCTCTGGAAAGATAGTTTTATTCCGAGCTTTCGGCTCCACACGAGAAGCCATCGTTAGAATAAATGAGAAACAGCAAGCGTTGGCTACGCATAAATGGGGCTGGTAGAGGGAGGTGGCAATTATTGATTGGTCCCTGTCCACACCACGTCCATTCTCACGCTATCTTATCGTCTGTTTCCTATGCGCGTCTCTGGAGTAACGGCATGTGACCTTGACGTGGCAGCTTGCATGCTTGTAGAGGAACTGGGCCCCGGTTTCTGGTCACGGGCACGGATGG